GCTCCCTTCGTTTCATAATTACTACTTCTACACAGCTTTATGCTTGTAATCAAATTAGTCACAAAATAGCAATAGTGTAAAAAATGATTACAAGATCCACAGTGACATTTAATATGCTATTCAAAGGGTCCTTATCACTCCAACCTAACACATCCTTGAACGTCTAATCCCACAAGTAAATGTACACCGAGTTTTCAACTCTATGGACTATCCGGCAGCATTTCCCTATAGTTTTCCAAGTACACAATGCAGAAGATTATGTACACCTATATATGTACCTAGAAAACATTTTAGAGAAATGACAAGGCGGGACATTCCACAGAATCAAAAAGTAAGGCATACATTTATCACCTAAGTGACATTGAACGTTCAAAGACAGTCCCAACCGGGGACTATCCAAGACATACACGTAATGTATATGCCTTGAACGGGTATCTAGGCATATGATTACGCAAACATTTATACTACTGAAAAACAAATTATATGTATCAAAACATAAAGGTGTACGACAATTACCATATTAGAAGACGGAAATGAAATACATGAATGAGATATATATATTTCAACATAAGCTTTATTACAATGAACTTAACACATATAAATAAGTTTCTTACATACATACATAAACTAAATTAACACATATAAACTAAACAACCTACTATAATATAATGAAACGAAACTAAATTTATAAACTAAACTGACATATATAAACTAAACTAAAAAAATACTAACATATAACGAAACTAAACTAACATTAAGCAACATATAACTAAACTAAACAAACTACTGACTTATAATGAAACCAAACTAACATTTATACAGTAATATTAGGGGTGGGACTTTTCAAACCGAACCGTGAAACCGCCCGTTACCGAACCGAACCATTACGGACCGATCCGTTTATAAACCGATAAATATAAACCGAAAACCGAACTGAACTGTTCAATATCAAACCGAAACCGAATTGAACCGCTCAATGTCAACCCGTTACGGACCGTAAACCGATAACAAACCAAACTGCGCAAATCCGAACCGAAACGAAACCGAACCGAATGGTTTATAAACCCGAACCGTTTATAAGCCGAAACCGTTTAAACCGAAAAAAAAAACCGTTTAAACCGAACCATTTGTAACCCGCTAACCGTTTAAACCGACCCGTTTATGAACCGAAACCGTTTAAACCGACCCGTTAATGACTTAATGAGTTAATGCACATCAATATCTGACATCTCTATAGTTTATATGTATATTATATATATCTTTGAGTCTGTGACTGTATATCAGTATTTATAATAAACTAATAATAACTTAATAAGTAATAATACTAATAACTAATAAAGTAATGAAAATCTAACCATTGTTTTTCATGGGCATTCAATCTAACCGTTGTATATTTGACTATTCGTACATTAGTATTGCATAATGATTTCATCACCACTTTAATTAGTGATTTCGTGATTTCGTCCATTTAACTTATTAAGTTGTTTGAGTTAGTAATCTAAATAAAGTAACAAACTAAATAACGAATCCATTTAATCTCGTGTAAGTTATAATTTATAAGAAATGCAATGTTTGGAAATGAAAATTGATTCAATACGATATTGTTAATGTATATGTAATTATAGATTAATTATTATGTATATCATATCGTACGAATGTACGGTTGGTATCATTATCATACTATCATAAGTATCATTGCCTCGTTGAATTATTGGTATGTACTACAATCGATAAACATATTTACATATCTGATTATTAAAACTTAAAAGTTTAAAACACTTGTTGATCAATCTAATTGAATACTTGTACATTCTTAATTATCGATTTATCGTATTATAAGTATCAACTCATTAAATGGTCATGACGCGATCTTTAAAACAATCATGAATTCATGACCCAAACCGCTTATAAACCGAACCGACATGATCCAAACCGTTCATAAACCGAACCAATTGAACTGTGTAAACCCTCTACTAAACCGGCCCATTTCAAACTGAACTGACATGATTCGCACCGTTTATAAAACGAACCGATATTGACCCGGGTAAATCCGCCCCTAAACCGACCCATTTCAAACCAAACCGGCTTGATCCAAACCGTTTATAAACCGAACTGACATTGACCCGGGTAAACCCGCCCCTTAAACCGACCCGTATCAAACCGAACCGACATAATCCGAATCGTTTATAAACCGACCCGCTTATGACCCAAACCGAATTTAAACCGCAAAGAAATAAACCGAAACTAAACCGAGCCGTGACTAACCCAAACCGAACCAAACCGACCCGCCAGCTAAACTAAACCGTTTTAATTCGAACCGCTCCAAACCGAAACCGACTCAAACCGAGGTCAAACCGAACCGCCAGACCGAAGTCCCACCCCTAAGTAATATAGAATATATAGGCACTAACATATAATAGAAATAACATAAACAAAACTTTTTTCTGAAAGAGATTTGATTCTCTAATGAATTTCTATAGAATTACTTTGTTTCATCCCCAAAACACACTAAAAATAAATTAATTTGTTTCATTTTTGCTACTAATAACTAACATACATATAAAAATATAAGTGCATTAGAAATATTTACCACTAACTTTTGAATTTGAACTATGTTTTGAGGAGAAAACAAAGTAAATCTATAATTCATACAAATGAGTGAATAAAATAAAAAATTAAAAAACTTAGGGTTTACGGGTAATTAATTAAAACTAAATAAATAATCGGGAAAAAAAAAAGAATTACCTGATGGTCGACGCACGAAGGTCTGCTAGAGGGAGAGGGTGAGCTGGTGGCCGGCGGTGGGTGGTATGAGTCGGTGGAGGAATTGAGGGTTAGGGTTAGCGTATAGGATAAAAAACAAAAAATGAGAAAAGAAAGGAACAAATGGTTAGGGTTACCTGGTGGCCATCGTACGACGGCTGGAGAGGGAGGGTGAGTAGAGACAGTGAAGTTCACCTTCTCTCTCCTTCTTATTTTCTCTATCTCCTTCTCCTTTTGTTCGAAAATTTCCCCAAATGAACCTGAGGGGTGTATTTTTATTAAACACATGTTCGACGGCTTTTCCTATGGATATAAGCCATCAAAAATTAAATTTCCTATGGATTTAAGCTATCACAAATATAAATGCCAATGGATTTTCCATATGATATAAGCCATCGGTTATTTCCTATGGCAAAAATTCCATCGGAATCTCTTTTTCAAATTTTAAATTTCAAAAATCATGTTTCCCATGGAAAAAAGCCACCGGAAACTATTATTTGTGATGGCTTTATAAACCATCGTAATTTTCCGATGGCTTATTCTATCGAAAAATTTTTAAGCCATCGAAAAAATACGAGGGGTTTATTAACCATCAAAGTTTTTAAATTTTCTGACGGTTTATATAAGCCATCGGAAATTTTCCATCGGAATTAAGCCATTTTCTCATAGTGGTAGGAAAGGGTCCTATCAGGTAGGAAGTGTCCACTAAGAAACTTGTGAGAAAGGTCTTTGTGTAAGAGCTTGTAACTAGGAGTTGCCTTATTGTATTGAATTTTGTGTGATAATCCCGATAAAGGTCTAGGTTATACTTCCAGTTAGGCCATGGAAGATTTCCTCATAAAACTTGTTGTGTTCTTTAAGTTTCGTTTAAGTTCTATTTTTAGATTTTGAAAAAGATTGACCTAATTGGAACCTACTACAGTTTATCCCCCGGTAGTAGTTCATCTAAACTAACATATAATAATAAAATAAAATAAAAATTCTTTTATGGTTTTTTAGGTAAGAAGAATTCTTGTTCGATACAAAATCTTGGCATGTTAACTCGACTCACGTTAGTAGGCCAAACACTTGGCCCCATGGCTGTTCATCGGTCCGAGACCGGACCGAACATTAGACCGAAAATTAGAATTTTAAGAACAGAAGATCAGACCGATTAAGCTGGGACCAAACCCGGAACGGACCAAAAGAATTGGTCCAAAACCCGAACTAGACCGCTTTGGACCGATTTAAGAATTTTTTTAAAATAACACTATTTTTTTAATATTTTTTTGGAAAACTCGAAAAAAAGGAAGGGAAAATCTACACTTTAACGTCTTTTTTTTTTGTATATTTAGTACAAAAAGCTCATAAATTTGATGTTTTCTAAGTTTATTAAGGATAATCTTCACTATTATTTAAAGTGTCACGCATATTTTTAATAAATAAATTGGTCCGGTCTAAGACCGGTTTTGATAAAATTTTGGACCGCACTGGACCGAAGACCGGAAAATAAATTTCTAGACATGAAGACCAGGCCAATTAATTCGGTCAGATCTGTTTTTTCGATCTGGACCGATTTATGAACACCCCTACTTGGCCCTACTTAAAATTCAAAACACTTATTACATACTAGTATGAATTATGTTCAATTTTTAATACTATGTTTTGTGACTTAACAATTTTAATCAATACATTGATATATAGTACGTGCATTTACAGGGTGTCGTCTTAGATATCCTTAGACAAAATTTCAATAACAAATCGTTGAATTTTCCGTCAAAAAATGACAAAAAGACAACCCACTCGTGTGCATAATTTTGCATAATCTCTCATTCCAAGATCCTTCCTTGAGCCTATAATACTAGAGTAATAATAGGCTAATTATTTAATACTTTACTTAAATTAATTATTGTTCTCTTATGGGGTGCACCAGGCTGTAAAGCCCATAACCAATTGCCTAGTAATCCACGGCTCTATTCTAAATTATATTAATCAACTCATTTCCTTGTAATTAGAACAAAAAATATTGTTAATGCCTTTCTTAAATATGATTAGAGACAAGGGAACCAGATCAATTAGCCTTGCAACTTCCCATTGATTGTCCTATAGGAGTATCTGTCATGTTGGTGCCGTGTAATCATGTCTATATAAATCAATACATTCATGAGTTTATAGACATCCTCTCAAACTAGCTAAAAGCAACATAAAATCCTACTTAAGTAACCAAGTAATAAAAACACATTAGTAACATTACAATTATGGCTAGTTTTTCAACAGAAATGAACACATCACACAAAATAAGATCACTAAGCTTACCTTCAAAGCTAAATCCGATCAACCACAGAATTGAACAAGAGCTGAAAAGGCTCCGATCAAAAGAAGAAGCATCAACATCAGCCTCGGAAAGCATCATCATTGGTGTATCAGGGCTAGAAAAATTGTATGGTTGTATCAACCAAGCCTTGAGTCTTCCAATGACTCAACAAGCTCTCTCACTTCGCCAACATGAGAAACATGTTGCTGAATTATTCAAGGGTTGCTCAAGCCTTCTTAATGCTTGCAGCTTAATCAAAGAAGTTGTTTTCCAACAAGTCGAAATCACAAAAAGTCTTGAATCTTCATTTACAGAAAAGGAAGATATCTTAAAAATACGAAGCAATATAGCTAATTACAACTCCTTGAGGAAGGAGGTAATAGGTAAAGCGAAAGACATACTTATGTCATTAAATCAACTCAATGCTGAAGTCCTCGGAGATGAAGATTGTCACCGATCAACTGTGATAAAATCACTAAGATGTGTTAGCATCATTAACTTGTCTGTGTTCGAGTCACTTATTTTATTCTTGTCAGTGCCCATGTCTAGGCAAAAAAAGTCACTGGTTTCTAAGCTGATGAACAAGGCGGGGAAGTGGAAGTATGAGAGCGGAAATGAGATAAATGATGTTGATAATGTGCTGCATCAATTGGTTTCGACAAAAGATGCAAACGATCAGAAGCTGCTGTGTTATTCACTAGGTAAATCGAAAGTGTTGGTAGGTGTTGTGGAGGGAATTCAGAATGATTTAGAGAAGATGTGCACACAATTATCGAATACAAAATTGTCACTCATGAACATACTCTCATTCTAGTTGGATTTTAGAATGCAAAAAATGTTGTTCCAATATATATTCACATACATCTGTAGATACAATCAAAGTAGTATAATGTTCTGAGTTCCAGCTGCTTATACTTTCTGTCCTTACACTTAATATTACTATTGATTCATAGAAATAATGAATAATTAATAGGGGAAATTCCCTATTTCTCATGGTGAGAAACAAATTTGTTATAGCAAAAAAAGCTAGATTTAACCAGTTTCGATTGCATATGTATATCATTACATATGATTTGATTTTACGGAAATAAGTAGGCTCAATTTTCAAACGCTTTCTCAAGTCCAAATCCACACCTTTTTTTTTTTTTTTTTTTTTTTTTTGAATAAACTCCACACCCATACTTAAGAGAAGGATATTTAACAAACTTTTTTTAAATTTAGAACGACCATATCAAAATAAATAAATAAATAATAAAATCTCACTGGCATCTTTAAATTTTAAAACACTATATTACTCCCTTCGTTTTTAAATATTTGGTCTACTTTCCTTTTCCGACCGTTTTTAAATACTTGCTCCATTTCCTTTTTTGGAAAAATTTTATAATATTTAAATCATTTTTCATACCTAATGGACCCAAAATAATACTCTCTATCCTCCTATTCTTCCACTTCTTTTGTTTTTTATAATTTTTTATTCTCTTCACTACCCCACTACCTCCGTATGTTAATATTTTATTACTTTCTCCAATTTCTCCTAAAATTCCGCGCATGGAGAAATGGAGCTAGTATTTAAAAACAGAGGGAGTAGCCTTTAACATCTATTTGAATATACAAATTATAAAAAAAAAGTTATAATTATATGGAAAAATACACTTTAATTATCTCAACTAATATTTAGGTTTATTAAAAAAAAACCTTTATTGTGATTATTTGAATTAAATCAGCAAAAGTTGGCATTATTAAAGTGTATTTTTCCTAATTATAAAGTATACATCTAGATCAATCTAACAAGATGTCACTCAATTTATGTTAAAATTATAATAATAAAGATGAGAGAAGAAAAAGAATTACACAAATTAACTTGTTTCAATTCGGCCATGATCCCAGGCCATCCACTATAATGATCTAACATAAACCTACTATTATATTTCAGAAAACTGAGTTAAAAGTACAAATCATGATCCCATAATTCTAACATAAATCCATTGAAATACTTTTACATACACCCGGTTTACACTAATATTCGTGTACATCGAGAAATATAAGGGTAACATTTTGCCCTTTTAGGTAACTTTAAACATGATACGATTTTTATATAAATAGATAACAAAAAAAATTTTATAAAGATAATTTAATTATATTCAGTTACTAATAATTGAATTTTACTCATTTAAAATGTGATTCTTTACCAATAAAGTGTAGATGTTTTTTATTTGTATTGGATTAATTTTATTCATATTGCGGTAACTTTTATTTATTTCAGAATTAACTTTTGATAACTTTAAACTATCTTTATAATGGATGTACGATATACTTCCGATTTTTTAAAACTTTTGTGTTTTTATTATGACTCCACTAACACAAATCAATCACTTTCAAGAGCATACTCCTATACATTTGGAGTGGACTAATCACTAACATTTTGAAATAAATAATGTTCCAACATACCCCTTTACTTCAAATTAGGTTACAATGCCTATTTGATCTTCATTCCACGGAAATCAGTATTCCTATAACAAAATACATGTTATTTTTTTTCTTCCAATCATTTAACATATTTCTTGTCAAATCAATTATATGACATTGTTATCTTATTATAGAGGTGATTAACATCAGTCCGGCCATGAAATAGTACAGGTTTGGACGAGCTTAAAAACGTATTTTAGTATAATAACCTAAACTCGATCCAAAAAAATTTTGACAAGCCTGCTACTTTTTAGAGGGTTTGAGCCTAAGCAAGGTCGTCTTAACCAATTTGGGGGCCCTGTGCTACCATTAAATTTGGGCCCATAAAATTTTGCTACGTTCTTTGTAGTTCTTATGGCGTATTTGGTATGCACAACTTATCACATTATAAATGTATGATAAAAACAAGGAAAAATTGTCAAGAATTACCTACCTAATAGGTTTTTTTGTTAACAATTACTCGCTTAAAATTTTTATCAAAAAAACTACCCACTAAATTTAAAAATTTTGAGTAGCACTACCCATTTTGGTTTTTCGGCAACAAAATTTGGCAAATGTGTACAATTTTTTTTTTCTTCCAAAACATAATCCTAAACCTCGTAAATAACAACCAAACTAATCTCCTTTACAATGACTCACCCTGAAAACACAAAATTTTCAATATTTCCCATTTAAAGAGGATTAAAGTAATTGTGATTATAATTAAGAAATATGTAATGCTTCTAAATTGATGTTAAATTCACTTGTTTTGGTTTCTTAATTGAGTGATTCATCATTTTGTGTTTACATTTTGGAAAAAAAAAAAAACAAAAGTAAGCGCTACTCGTTGGATTTTGTTGCTGGAAAATCAAAATGGGTAATACTAGTTAAACTTTTTAAATTTAGTGGGTAGTTGTTGACAAAATGACCTATTAGGCGGGTAGTTCCTGAAATTTATCCTAAAAACAATTTATCTTTTTTACAATATTTGAGAGCAACAATGTGAGAGCGAGGGATAGTTCAAGTGGTTAGAGCTCCCCTCCTAGTTTCAAGAGATCCTAGGTACGATTCACACCCTAAAAAGACATCCACATTGAAGCTTAATTTGTTACTTTTATATTTTAAAACAAGCAAGCGGTACATTATAAATTAAAGTATCCACCTAGCAATTATTTGAACGTAAACAATTACGAACGACCTTATTATAGAACAAATAAACAGGAGCAACCCCTTTTGAATGCGATGCTTATTATAAATTGACAAAAGATATGTTGTATTGTACTCCATATGTTTTTCACAATTCTACAATTAATAGAATTAGAAATAATTTAATTTGGAAACCGACTGAAATTAAATTAAGTTACCTGATTGAAATCGGGAGGTTTTAGCAAAAGACCAAGTAGCAGATAGGGTCGTAGCAAGGGGAGGGCAGCTGGGGCGGCTGCCCTGGGCCCCTTGTCAAAAAGCCCAATTTCAATACAATACAAGGCCCCAAATAAATATACTTCATACTAAATAATATTACGTATATATACATTAAACAAAAAATAAAAAATAAAAAAAAAAAAGAAAAGAAGTGTGTACTGTACAACACTACAATAGTACTGTAGAATTCCAAAATATCATATGGCATTTTTGGTAAATGTATTTGTTCCCTAATTTTTTGCCCAAATTATTCACTTTCCCAACTTTTTTTTAACAAAAAAAAAGGCATTAATTTTAATTGTATCCCTATTTTTGGTAATTTTATTTTTCAAAATGTATTTCATTACAATTTTCATTTAGTTAAATTCCTTCTCTTTCGTGATTCAATTGAATATGAAAACTATAATAAACGATCATTTTACTCTTAATTTTTCAACGGGATTAATCTAATTATATATAATTCTCTTTGCATACCCTACTTTTTTTTTTGAACGGTGTATACACGATTTTATTCATCAAGATCTCTTCTTTGTATTAAATTATATTTTTCTTTGTATTGAAAAAATCTAATCGATTGGTTGGATACTTGGTTTGAATGGTTCGGCTGGTGTAATTACTTCAACGAGAGTTACGGGAATGTAATTTCAATGTTTTATGAAATTGGAGGTTTTTAAAGAGTATTTATCCTAATAAAATATTTTTGCATACCCAAATTTTAAAAATTTTATATAGTATATGTGAATTAGGGCCCTGATTTATGTTTTTGTCCCAGGCCACCGAAATCTCAGGAATGGCCCTGGTATCAGAGAAACAGAGTGAAACTAGTGAGAAGAAAAAGAAGACGTGAGGAGGAAGAAGAAGAATTAGAAAGAGAAGAGAAGAGAGATAGAGAGATAGAGGATTAGATTGTAATTATCATAATAATCAGATTATTACAATTAGTCATGCTTTATACCAGCTCATGACTCCTAACAATCTTCTCACAAGTACCAATGCAAGCATCTTTTGTAACAAACTGGAAAAGGACAAAAATAACAAACTAACATTTCCCACCAAAACGAGAATTACAAAATACCCCTTATCATACCCTCCTCCTTTCAAAATGATTTTACCTCAAGTCAGGTAGGAGTAAATCCTGGGAATTGAGCTTCAAAATCAGAGTTCAGCACCCAAGAAGCTCCATGAGCTACATAATCTTTCCACTGAACCAAGAATTTAATCTGAGAAGAACTAGCAACAGTCACACTTTGTTGATGAAGGATAGCAGCAGGTATTGTTGATGAAGGATAACAGCAGGTATTAAAGGCTAAACAGGAGATTGCTCAAATTCTGGGGGAATGACAGTAATCTGGGGGAGATAACCCTGGAAAGGCTTAAGATGAGATACATGAAAAACATCATGTATCTTAGCATAAGTTGGAAGGTGCAGCTTATAAGCCACCTTGCCAACCTTAGAAATCACCTTGAATGGCCCAAAATACTTAGCAGCTAGCTTATTATTGCTATGACGTATTACTGAATGATGCCTATAGTTCTGCAACTTTAACCACACCTAATCATTAACATTAAAAGATCTTTCAGACCTCCTTTTATCAGCATGAGTCTTCATCCTTTGCTGAGCTTTCAACCGATTATGCTTCAGTAAGTGAATCATTTCTTACCTCTTTTGCATACACCTATCGACCACCAAATTAGGAGACTCCCCAGGAAAGTAAGGAAGGTGAAGAGGAAGAGGTTGATTGTAGACAACCTCATAAGGAGTCAACTGAGCAGTAGAATGAAAGTGTGTGTTGTACCACTACTTAACCATGAAAAGGTATTTACACGACTTCATGGGAGCCTTACTAGACTTACACACCTCAAAAAGAACTCAATTTACCTGTTAACTACCTCAGTTTGTCAATCTGTCTGTGGATGTAAGACAGTAAATATTCAGTGACATGC